AAGTCTCAGGGTAATATAATGATATATCATGGAGAATAACCTAGAGAAAACTGAACACTCTGAATTGAGAAAGGTTGAAAATATCTTTAGGGATATGTATTTCTGTACTTGAAAAATTGTCAAGTAGTATGTCATTCAGTTAAAATAGAAAAAGATCATGACGGTTTGAAAGAAAAAGTTCATGAAAACTTGAATGAAGCATTTAAATAACTTTAGTATTAGCTGCAGATGTGTTAATAAGAGAAACAAAGTTAGAAAGTCAGATTTGGGTATCTGCTAAAGGATGGTTTTCTAAATGCCAGTAGATTAAATTTTCTTTGTGACATTGAAATTGTATTTACAAGAATTTTGCTAGATTTTTATTCAAACATCACAAATATCAATGCAATGGCATAAATGATGCTCTTGGTCCAGAACAAGACTGCCAGATGTATAGACTGTCTTTCCTTCAGCAGTTCTTAGAGTGTCCATGTTAGAAGCACACGCACCGTCGTGTATCTGTGTGATTGTGTGCAGCCTTGGGGGTGGGGGTGAGGACAATTAAATTTGTAGGCCCAAGTAAAACACTCATGTGTTCCACATGATGAATAAAAATAGACTAACTTTCCTCCCAAAACTAATTTTGTTACAATTCCAGGAATGCTCTTTCCCACATGAAAAATTTCAAATCTATCTTCCCTCTATCACAGGTTTTGTTGGATTTAAGGACTGCAGAACAAAGTCCGAAAGATATGCAAAAAATCATTTCCCCAAAGAGTTACTAAGTCATATATTTATTAAAATTTGTGGGGTTAAATCTTAGGGGAGGTTTCAGTCTTACTAATGTAGCTTAGATAGGCCAGGAAAAAATGAGTGCGTTGCTTCGGCTTCAGCCATCAAGTTGTTTGAATGGAGCCTGGGGAGACCTACCCTTGAGGGCTTCAGCCAAATACTGGAGGCCATTGAGGATCAACTCAGTGGTTACTGTTATTTTCTCCTTCTTGCTGATTATAAGTAATGCACTCCCAATTTTAAAGGAAACTTGCAGAGCTGATCTAATTCACTCATTTTGCAGATGAGGAATTCAAAGCCAAAGCAAGGGAAAAAATGTAGCTAGTGAGTCTTAGCACCATGACCAGCCCTCCTAGGCAGTGTCTTGTCCCAGTGACTCATCCAAGGACACTCAGCTCTGAAGAAGTAAGAGATGATAACACCAACATGGCTTCGTCAGTTGGACATTTTTTGTTCCTTCAGAGTTCCTATTTTTATTAATAATATCTATCAAAAAAGACAACCTAAATTCATACTGTCATTTCTATTGCATTATTAAGAAAGCAGTATCATGTAGACCTAAGAACACTTATTTGGACTTCTTGTGTTTAATTATTTATAAAAAGAGGAGAGTAAAGTATTGGGTTTAATAGGAATGTGTGCATTGCCAAGTCTACTCCACCAGTATTTAGGTTCAAAGTTGAACAAAATAGGAAGACTCTATCAACTTTGTGATACTTGGAGGCCGTGCAATGGTGTAGCATTCTGTTGACAAGACCTGGGTTTGGGTTTTGAATATAGTACTTAGTACTCTTCACCAGGTCCTTAATTCCTCTGTGCTTTACTTTCTTCTTGACTTTAACTTTGGGATTGTTTTAACAGCTAAGTTAGCAAATAGATGTAAATCCTTAGCCTCGATCTTTAAATAATATTGAGATCCAGTGGTGTGCCAAGCACTAGCCTGGCATGTAGGATTCGCTGTACTTTTGCTTCTCCATGTGGATTCTTGCAGTCTAGTGGGCAAAATACATAATACAGGTATACTGATGTGTAGTTACAACTGTGAAAATTAGGTAGAAGCACTAAATGTTGGAGGAACATGGATTCAGAAAAATCAACCTAGTTTAAGGACACTAGAGAAGATTTCCCTTAGTCAAATAGCTAGTAAAAGGTAGAACCCAAATTTGAACACAGATGTTTTTGCTCTAGAGCCTATGTTTTTATTCCTCAAAGAAATCCTTTGAGAAAGGTCTTTTGATTATATGATTTTTGTACCTCTACTAAATATTAATTTCTCCTCTCTCCCTGACCTCATCCAACCCAGTGTACAGGAGTAAAATATAGTGTGCTGATTGCCTTTCTTGGTTGCCTTTCTAGTGAATTCAAAGTGTTGCCTTAAATTTTTATTTCTGTTTAATCTTTGCAAATGCAGCAGACGACTAATGTAAAAAAAAAAACAAAACTTTTTCTTTCATGAAAAAAATTGGCTCCTGATATTCATTACTAGCTCACGTTTTTAGTTGCCTTCTTTCAGAAATATTCAGTGTATATATGGACACTGTGAATTTGTATTGGCATATGCACATTTTTATGTTTCAACTGAATTGACTAACTTGAATGATAACAGTTAAGTTCTAAATATATTGTTAATTATAGAACTACATACTCTGAATATATTTTTATAATATAAATATTTTATTGCATGCATTAAAAAATAATTTCCTTACACAAATGGATAATTATGAGTGTATTTTTAAGATTATACTAATATCTTATTTTCTAGACTGATTATTTAGACTTTGCCCTCTGAACATTAATTAATACAGCTGTACTTTAAAAATAATATAGAGATGGCATTATCGAGGACTGGGTATACCTTTGCAGTATGAATGTAGCCACACGTGTTCTGTTTGTGGAGAAAATGTTTATGAGTATTCTATAGAAACATTTATATGCCTATAAATAACGTTTCTATGTTACTTTGCTCAGTATGAACATTTGAGGATATTTTTGTTGTCAATTTATTATAAAGACTCTGCAAGGATTTAAAGACAATAACAGTAATATAATCTGCCAGTTGGATTAATAAATTTCCAAAATCGTATTTTGTGTATGGGTGCGGACATTACTGGAAGAAGATTACTTCCCTTTGAGTGCCTGCATTTTGTCAGCTTTTAAGAATCAAAGCTGTTAAACATTGCTGGTGTGCGCCATAATTTTCTTTTCCAAAGTTGGGACCTGCCCTACTTCTTTGGAAAATCCATATTTGAGTTGTCCTGAACATGATCACTAATAGACTTTTTAACATTTGTAGAGGGCTTTTTGTTTCCAGGATTTCACAATCATTGCATTTTAATTCGTATGACATCCATGAGGTAGACTGATACATTCAAGCATTCAAGTCTCCTGCAGTGGAATTTTGGTGCCAACAGAAGTATTATGATTGGCACCGGCTTTCCTGAATTTCCCAGAGGCCAGACACCTGGAGAGTCTTTCCTTCAGGCCTTGGGGTACATGCCAGTGCTACAGCCACATGGTACTGCCTCCTCATTCCTCCTGCTGCTTTACTAAGATTGAGGGACTTCATGCACCAGTAACCCTAATGCTGCACTGACCTCAAAGGAAGGATATGTTTTGGAAGATGCTTAGAGGATCCAATGAACATTTACTTTCTGTGCAGGAAATTTCAACTATTGATACCTCCATTAATTCAACAGAAGTACTTTTCAGTACTGGTAACTTTTACTTGATTAATAAATGAGCACCTAAATTTTCTTTCTTGTGAGTTTGAAATATGTTTAGGCAGGCTGAAATTCTGTGTACCTAATGATTAAATTATCAACAATTAAGCATCAATTAAAATATAATTCCAGAAGACATACTGTATGTTTATTGTGCACAGGGAACTGTAATAAACACAGTTCATGTGTTGTTTTATCCTGACCAAGCTAGAATTGAAACCTAGTTCTGTCTGCTTCCAAAGTCAGTTCTTTAACCATTGCATAACACTGCCTTTCATGGATGTCGATGGATAGTTTATCAATGTACTGTGACAACATGTGGCCAAGGAATGTGAAGGATAGGCTAGACTATGAAGGCACACGCTGATTTTCTATTTTTATAAAGCAAAGCAAATCCATGTACAATAATTGTTCTTATTCACACCATACTTTTATGTATCTTTTCACCTTTCAGCCATAACTTGTTTTAATATTAATAAGTATTTGTGTGGTCTTCTTTATTGAAATTTCTGGAAAGGGGTCTGTGTTTCATTCACCTAGTAATTCTTATAATTGTATGCATTAAGTAACTTTTAAAGCCATAAATGAAATGGATTCTCAGACACTACTGATAAATTAACTTTTAAAGTTTTGTGGGGCTTAAAACACACACACACACACACACACACACACACACACACACACACAGTACGTGGCAAAACATTCAGATGAAAGAAAAGAATCTCCTTTCTATTGAAGGCTTTCAGATCCCCAGTGCTTCTGAGGGTCATTACTAGTTCAAGTTTTTTTGTGGCCCCTTTTCAAAAATATTTAGTGTACATATGGACATGTGTGTATTTGTATGGGTATATGCACATTATTATGTTTCAACTGAATTGACTAACTTGAATGATAATAGTTAAGTTCTAAATATATTATTAATCAGAGGACTATGTACTCTGAATATATTTTTGTAATATAAATTTTTATTGAATGCATTAAAAATGATTGTGTTACTACAAATGTATAATTATGATTATACTTTTAAGAAACATATACATATGCATTATTAATCATGTCCTTAAAACACTGATATGAATATGATATATTCTAATATAAGATGATTACAATATAAATACCTTAATCTCTAGAGTTACTGAGTTATATATGTGAAAAAACTGTTAAGACATTCACTTTAGTATTTAGATCCAAAGACTGCTATCAACTTAATATTTTTTGAAGCTCCCTATACCTCCAAATAGCAATTGATAAATGTTGCCCAGTAGCATAATATATTAAATAACAAAGCATTATTTTGAAGGGAATAGCATTATATTTTGTCATAATTAACAATGTTTTCAGGATTACAGAAGATAATATGAGGTTGTCATCTAATTTTAGAAATCATACGTTTCTAATGTTCGTATGATCTATCAAAAGTACATTCTGATCTGCCAAAAAAATAGAGAATTTGAGCATCTTGAGTATTTTAATGTAATATTTGCTAATTCTTATTTTTTTTAATTTTAGGTTTTAGTATAAAGGCAGTGCCATTTCAGAATGCCATCTTGAATGTGAAAGAACTTGGAGGTATGGCATTTAAAATCCTTTCTGTGTCTCAGTTTAACTTTACCAAAAAACTTGGTATCCTTGTATTATATATTACTAAAACATGATAACTTATTCTAGGGGATTTATTTTTACCTTTTCTCTTGATAATATACATTCAAGAAATATTTCCTTCTCTTTTTACATAGGTTTTAAAATTTGTCAAAGATTTCCAAGAGATATAAATTTTGTTTTCTATGAATTAAGGAACTACACTAATAGCTATTTATATATGCTCTACTTCTTGGCTTTACTTGTTGAAAACTGTTCTGTTCTTGAATGACACCTGAAAAGAATTTTAGTGTAATCAAACTGCACAGGGCACGCATAAATAAATAAATAAATAAATAAATAAATAAATAAATAAATAAATAAATATGTGTGTGTGTGTGTGTGTGTGTGTGTGTGTGTTTTAGTTTGTATTTATGCTACTAGTTTTGTTGTATTCAATCTTTTTAGAATGTATTTGTTCTGATAATAAATCTTTTCCAGTGGGTCTTTGCTGGCCAAGCACATTTATTGGGTAGGCTGTACCCCAAGGCATACATCACTCAGTCTTCCATTACACCCTCTGTCTGGCACATTTTGGTTGTGTTTTATGTCTGCCAGGGTCTTAACCCATGTAAATAGATTAACAAAGAAATCAGTCAATTCAGTGAACCTACTAAATTCTCTAATGGCACAGGAAAATGGTGAGCACTCTGTAGTTTAGTATAATATCAGTGAGTTTAATGGCTTAGAAAAAAGTTCTCTTCCATCTATTTAAAAGCGTGATCTTGACCTTACCCAGTTTCTTTCTTTCTTTCTTTCTTTCTTTCTTTCTTTCTTTCTTTCTTTCTTTCTTTCTTTCTTTCTTTCTTTCTTTTTTAAATTTCCACTTCTCCTTTAAGGTCCTTCTAACTGTGACCTATTTTGTAGCCTGATGAAATTGAAATACTGACTTTATGTTGTTTTGGTAGTATTTGATACCTTCTTATTTTTATCTAATGAAATATTGACCTTTTCAGGTGTCTATTTTCAGAGCAGATTTGCCTCTGACAGTTTTACAGCTACATTTGGCTTTTATAGCATTAATCTTTAAAAGCAACTATGATCGAGAAATTCTGATTTTCCTTAAAAGATTTAGTTTTATTATAATTTTGACACCCAAAATCACATTACACAAGTGTTCTCATAGTAACATTTTTACATAAAATTTTAAGGTGCTGTGTTTATTAGGTTCAGTATTTTAATACTGCATTAGTTTCTGGTGGCTCTTTGCTCTTCAGTGACAATAATATCATTTAAAAATATTTTAGAGCTAGATAACGTGTTGTAAAAATCCAGAGAATCAAAGTGTATATGGTTGGAGTATTCTGTTGACCTTAAGTTTGGCTAGTACTTAGTATATCTTACTAGGTTGGACATGAAACTTATTGAACACCTAGCAGCAGGAATAAAAAACTATTGGTTAATTGAGAAGTATTTGTTATATATGATGATTATTTGGATGAAATAAATAACAAATGTGTCTGGACAGTAAAATACAAACATTTAAAGAATTTATTTTAACTTTGGCTCTGTGCCACTGAAATTCAGTGCAATGGAAGATTGAATTGAAGGATTAGGGATATAAAACATGAGAATAGGTCTGTTCCCAATTTTAATTTTGTTGAAAGGCCTGTGCCCTGACGAGTGTGGTGATGGAAATTACATGGGGCAGAATACTATAGGGTTTGATGGTAATGTTTCAGTTTGTACCTATTCTGTAATGAGGTTCAGAGATGTAGGTAAAAGAGCTTTAGGGATTGGAGCTGATGTGTTAGTTCCAGGCTAATGATATGTGGGTTTTGTGCATATGTTAGTACTAAAGAGCACATTTCTAGGAAAAGTCCAGGTTATTTTCTTCCTCTCAACTTTAATAGCTGTCTTTTCAGTTGAGAGACTATCTCAAGGAAAAGGTAGCTTTCAGAGTAGCGAGTATCCTGTGTTCTATCCTCAGAAGTTCGCAAAAGAGGGAGTTGATTCAGAGATGGTTCCTGCACTAATTCACTTATCGAAATATTCTTTTTGTAAAATCAGTACTATCTATGTCTAACCCAAGAACACTTGAAAAGGTAGGTTAACACATGTAAAGAAAGGAAAGGAAGGTTAACATGTGTAAAGAAAGTATAGTTTTCCTAGGGTTTTAAGTATATTCTAGATACCAAGGGGATCACCCCCAATGTAAAGTTTGGGCATTTAGGAGAATTACGACTTATTAAAGTCAAGTTGTCTGGGCTGCTTGACTGAGAATTTTTAAGTTCAAAAGGAAAGAGTTTAGTGTTTTAGGATTTGGTATGAAGATCTGAAGCTTATATTTACCATCACAGGGTTGCTTAGAAGGTAGGTTAGTTGGAGTTCAGTCCGATTGTCAATCTGGAGAAAAATTTTGAATTCAAGGGAGAAACTCAGGAAGATAGTGGGTAGAGGTAGGCAGGTAGGGAGAGCCAGTACAGTGATGGCATCTTACTGGGAATGCCAATAGTTGTCTTTATCCTTAACTCGGGATGGCATGGCCCCTGTTTCTCCCTGTGAACGTCCTTTCTTTGTTCTTATTGATAGTTTCAAGACTTCCTGTCATTCCCTTTTATAACCTGAAGTTAAATGTTTTATTTTTTCAAAATAGGAGCATAAAGTTCATGCCTTTTCCTATCTATTAAGAAGAACTGATAAGGGATGGAATAACTATGAGTCATAGAGTTAAATTTAATAACAGTCTATTTGGGGGGATCTGAGTGACAAACTATGAGTTTGCACACATATCTGATGTGTGTTTGTGTCCATGTATATATATTATGCATATGTTAACTATATGTAGTGTATGTGCAGGTAGATTATAGGCTGTTATCAATTTTCTATTTTATGTGTTTCTCTTTTACCTAAAAATTCTTATTCACACCAATTTCTCCCAGTGGGGCATTTTCCTACTACTCACTCAGTCATTGTACCACAACGTGTACCACAGTTGTTTGTCTAGCATGTACCCAGGAGCTGACAATAAAAGATCTAAAAGACAATTTGTCTTCAACAAATACAGGGAATTAGCAAAATTTTTGAAAATAATGAAACTAAGTGTTAAACACAGAAGTATAAGGTAAATGATGACACAGACGTCATACAACTGCTGCCTAGTTGTATGATGGGCCCGTTTCCTTTTTGCCGTTTTAGAAATAGCTTGCTTTCCTCATCTGGCCTGTCACCCCCTGCAATCTGCACTGATTATGCCTATCTTTATGTGAAATTAGAACTCTAAATGTTCTTCTGTTTTTCCCTTCCTTCCCTTTTTTTCCCTCAGCTTTTCTCACTTTATCTTTGTGACTTCATGCCCAGGGAGTAGGTGCTGTTATTATCTCACAGACAATGAGACACTGGGCACCAGGATGTGGACAGCTTGAATGACTTAACCAAGGCTACGTGGAGGGGGAGGTGGGGACTGGCCTGCGCAGAGGTGCTTAACCTGTGTACTACATGTGTAAAGCATTTTGCCCAGTGCCTGGCACAAGAGAAGGGCTCCCACACATCATCTGCTGCTGCTTTTATCATTATTAGCTGCGTCATTTAAGGTCTTCAGGTGTTGGTGTTTTTTTCATTAACACTATATTGATAAAACATCATATTGACAAAACATGAACACATTGCCCTCTCTCAAAAATTTATGGGACTTTGCCTCTGATTATTGCAGCTGCTTTTGTCTTTTTTTTTTTCCTGTCACTCTTTTACATATAGGTCAATCAGGTCAAACTCTTGTTCAGTTATGGTTCTCACTTTGGGTACTCTAGTCCTGCTTCCTTCCTTCAATTTCTTCAACACTCACGACTAAATCACCCTCACTTGTACTTTCCAAACTATCCAGATCTGCTTACAACATTTCATTTTCATACTCTTTTTATAAATATGAAAATTGTATTCCTTAAAATATTTTGTATTCATTATGAATATGAAAATTGGTATTCATTTTTAAAATAAATATTAACAAATGTTTACTGAATCCATATTGAATGCCAGTCTCCGTTTTAGGATGTTGTGGTTATAGTGTAAGAACATGTACATCGTTCCTACATAAACCAGGCGGTAGGCACTAGGGAACCTCTTGTATTCTTTCTCTCTCTCCTTAATTAAAGCCCAATCCTAATTCCTGTAGGCTAGAAGAAATTCCTGGGTTAATGCTGTTATACCTGAAGGGATTTCCCAATACTGTCCAGCAAGGGTTTGCTGATCCTTTTGAAGAACATTCCATAGTCCTCAGTAGGCTCTGTAAACTACTTTTTCCTGTATATTCTTTCATTTACATGGTTTTTATTCAAGTTCTAAATCCCTTCTTTTATTTAATTACTCTGCTTTTCTTGCTTTGAATTATTTTTATTTGTCTCGTTGTTGTGTAAGACTCCTAGCAGGGATCCTGCAGAGACAGATGGATTAATCTTTTAAAGATTTTTTTTTCCTTCCCAGTGATTGTTTCCAAACCTAGTTTTTCTATATAATTCTGGGCATGCCCATCTTCCTGTATCTCTCTTTCCTTATCTGTGAAATGTAGCAATAATAATTGCTGCATCCTATCATCCTTGTGAGGACAAAATTAGGTAATACAAGCCAGGTTCTTAGAGTTTGCATGGCTTATAGCTAACATTATGCCAGATTTGCTTTCATTATAGTTACATTCTCACTACTCCCCCAACCCAAACCATTAAAATATAAAAGACAAAATTCAACAAAGCCTTTTCCCTAAGGTCTCCAAAAAGAGCAGCATACATCACATATTGCTTTTTCTCTCTGTGGTCATACTTCAGATAAGGCATTCTTTTCCCACACTGTGTTTTACCTGGTTAAACTGAAAAGCCATTGGGAAGGGATTACATTGGAGACTTGTTTAGCCACCTAGCATAGTTTTGTGCTCCACATTAGTTAATGTGAATTGTTTTTGCCTCTTTCCACCTTACCACCTTTACTTCTGTTTTCAGGTT